AAATTTTACAAATTGCTCTGCAGTTAGTCGGATTATGAGAGCATGTATGTGTGTGGGAGGATGTAAGGCTGTGTGTGTTTGTGTGGCACATAAGCCCTACGCTCGTGTGCGATACGCGCCTCTGATAAAAAAGGCAACTACAAATTTGACGGCATCTTCCTGGCTGCCACGAGCTTCACATTTGTGAAGCCCGCAAGTCCTTTCCTCTGCGAAATTAAAAGTTTGCGTAGCTCATGTTCATGTTTCTCTTCATTGTTGGCCGGGAGGCGTGGGCGTTGGGCGTTGGCGTGACATGATTTTTTTTTCTTTTGCTTTGGCTCATTTGTGCGCTATGGTTTTTTAATTGCCTTGATTAGCATACAAATTTTTCCAGTAAAAGTTGTGCACAATTAAAATTCAATCTCATCTGCTTAAGACACATCCATAAAGTCAACAACCAATGCCGCGCAAGCAACTTCCGTGAACTTTGCGGAGCTGCAACTTCTTTTAGTTCGAGTAAACTGTTTCTATAGCTGACACTTTGTTGTCGTTGTCCTGATTGCCTGCAGGATGTTGTTGTCCGCACAAGTTCTGATTTTTATTGCCATTGCTTAAGAGCTGGAGATTCGTACATGAAAAACTTCTTGGACTCACCATCTGCCCCCACACAGAGTCCGCTTGAATAAAAGTTGGAAAAACTTAAAGTTGAACCTCTACTCGAGTTTTGTCCGTTAAAGAAGCGTACTTCCAAATAGTTGCTCAAGTGGAATTATTGACGAAAGTCGAATCAATGGCAATAGTCGAAATTTTCAGATCATTTAAGTGAATTTACAACTAACAATCAAAAACTTGTTAACTTCAACTTGATTTGTTGGATTACACTAAAGACATCAGTTGTATTTACTGTATGAAATTAAATGAATTTGTTAGCTAAACTTATCGATCGTCTTTCTTTGCGTCTATCCTTACATCTTTCTATAAAAGCTTGATAATCTGAATTCATTTTTATACCCTGAACCCATTGAAAATGGAAAATCAGGACATAATGGTTTTCTTAAATGTATGTAACAGGCAGAAGGAGGCGTGGCAGACCCCATAAAGTATATATAGTCTTCGAGTTTTGCTTTAAATATCGATAACTTGTCCCGTTATTTTGTTATCGGTTATAAACATTATCGAAACCCAGTAATAAATTTATATCTCCTCCGTTAATTCAACTCCACCCCTGATTCACCCCCTCAACCACACATTTGTAAAAGGCGTATTTCAAATACTAGGGACTTGTGCTTTGGCAAATACAGAGGTTGTCAAAAGTATTTACACACATTTTTTTTTTTTGCGTCTTTAGTATTTACACAAAACTTAAACAATGTTTATTGCTATTGCTTAATGTTATTTCTTTTGGATTTTTGTTTTATATAACAAAGGGCTTAGTTAATTAAGTTTGTGTTTAGTTATTCCTGCTTTTACTTCAATTACAGCCCGATGCCTTGCTGGAATTGATGCCACCAAGGATCGGGCAAGGTCAATTGTTAATTTCGACCAAATTTCGGTAATTTGCTTGATGGTATCGTCCAATTTCGGTCCTTCTTGAATAATCTGTTAGATTTCATCATTATCCAAACATTTTCATTCGTTAAGGCTCGGACTTTGCGGAGAACTGGGTAGAATAGCTTGGTTTAAGTCCCTCGAAAACTTTGTGGGTATTGATCCTTTATGGCAAGGAGCATTATTTTGCTGCAGTAGCCAGTCAATGGCTAGAAAGAGTCTGTTCCCGATGTAAAATCATGGTGATTTAATATTGGCAGATATCCTTATTGATATAGAGTGCCTTCTATTGGCATCAAATCTCCAATCCACGCTTCATAATAATAATCATAAATAATAATCTGCAAATAAATTTGTTATTTATCTTTAGGATATTAGAATAACTTTTAAGATATTAAACATTGATAATCAAATTTATATTATCTATATTTCATTTTATGATTCATAGATTCTATTTCCAGTATTTCCAGTATCTCATTATTAAAATCTGTCTGCAATCTATTTACTTAAACATCTAATGCGTACGGGAGTTTTTACGCGTTTACGGCCCCCTAAAAATCACATTAAGCACGCACAAATGTCTCACCTTTCCCGACCTCTGCAGAAGTTCTTAGCATATCATTACAGCTAATGTGCTACAAGTACCAAACTTGTTTAGGCTCAAGACAATTAGGCCTTAATTAGCAATACAAAGGACTGCCGACGCGTCGATGTCCTGCTCGAGACTATAAAAGTAGCAGCATTGAGCTGTCAACAACTGCAGAGCAAACGAAATGGTCAACATAGTGAAACATCCTCCGAGCAGGAGCGCAAGGCATCGACTGCTCCAATGCTGGAAGAGCCACCCACTGAAACTGGCCATTGCGAACACCTTCTGGGAGTACACGGAGCGCACCAAGGTGAGCGGCATGTGGCTGCTGCGACGCAATCGCACTCACGGGTTGTCCAGGTGAGTGAGCTATGTGCTATCGACCCTTGGTCAAAACATCTTTATATGTTAGCTACTAAGAATCAATGGCACACCTCGTTGTTATGAGGTAATAAGACTTTTTGGCTGACCATATCCGTATCCCCGGTTTATATCAGAGTACAACAAAACTAATGGTTAGTAATCAAATAATTCTGAAATTTTCTTAGTCGTCACTCTCTGTTTGTCTGTTTGGACCTAACTACATACATATATGTCTGCACTGACATTGCAGATTGATTTGGGCATCGGTGCTGGTTCAGCTGCTTGGTCTGAGCATCTATTTGACTCTGTTGCTCTGGCTGAAGTTCTACTCATATCCTATTCTAAACACCATTTCAAAAGAGGTGTCCATTACGGATGTGGCCTTTCCCGGAGTAACCATATGTAGTCCCAAGACGGTAAACACGGAGCGCGTTCAACGCTACGTCCGAACGCTGTGAGAAACAATGAAGAATCTCATGAAGGAACTTGTTGATATTCTCAACTCTTTCAGCCAGATACCTGCGGAGTATGATGTAGCCGAAGTGGCAGCTGGCTTCGAGTTTCTCAACGCCTTCACGGATCAGAGCTTTGTCCCTCCTACGCATGACAGCTACAAGGCAACGGATGCTGTGCTGCGACTGAACAACGTGTCCATATGGGAGGCTGCCATGGCCGTCAGTCCGGGCTGTGCGGATTTTGTAAAGCGCTGTTTTTGGGGCGTTGGGGAGTTTCCGTGTAATCAGAGCCATGAATACTTATCCTTCATACCGACGACTGCATTCCTTGGTCCGTGCTGCTCCTTCAACTACAATCCGCGGAATTCCAGCTTTCTGCCCTTCTCAGCGAACATCTTTGGCATGGATGGGGGTCTCACTTTCATTGGCGCTGAAGGCTCTGAACGCAACCTAAACACCGGCCTCATTGTGCTTGTCCATCATCCGATGGACTATGTAACGGAGAAAGCCGCATCGGTAACCATAACTGCAAGGTCCGAGAGCTTTGTCGAGGTCTCTCCCACCGTGCAAACCTCCTCGACAGAGGTGCTTGAGCTGTCCGAGCGCAAAAGAGATTGCCTCACCTCGGATGATGTGCAGCTACGCAATTATCGCCAGGCAGCCTGTCTGCTCGCCTGCCAGACGGAGGCAATTGGCAAACGCTGTGGCTGTCATCCTTACCTCCTGCCCACCGTGAGCAAGAAGTTCAAGGAATGCAGTCTGAACGATACCTTCTGCTATGCATATAACTATGGTGAGTATAGAATAACTACGCCGTAACAAGTTGCCCACCTTTGCATTCTTTCCCTCCTTCGAATTACCTATTCCCATCCTCACTCTCGCGGCGCTTAAGTTATTTACCTACACAGACCCGCTGAGTCCTACACTTTGTCTTGTGTGATGCATTGTGGTCTCCATGTCGTCTTCCTCCCCCCTCTCTCTCTCTCTCTCTGGTTGCTCCAGTTACATAATTTATAATTTATATTAAATATTCAAAATACGTGCCTGTCTGCCAGCTTAAGCGTGCCTCTCCAGAAATACTCGCAAATTGCTCCACAACTGGTGCTTAAAGGCGCTCCAGCGCTTCGTAAGCAAAACCCATAACCATTCCACATAGCATATTGTATGTATATGTCGGAAGCATAAATACCATGTTTAGGCAAGTGTCTGCTGAACTTCTTCCTATTAACTTGCAAACACATATCTACATGTGTATATGTGAGCGTATGAGTATTTGTTTAACGAGTTAGCGTATTAGAGTGTTAAATTACCTCTCCTTTGATGATATATCTACCTAGTTAAACTTTAATTAAAACAAATTAGGAATACGCGATCTGGGCGTTTCTCCTATAAATAGATTTTGCTCACAACTGTTTTCGAATGTTTCTATCGTATCCTCAAGACTTTATATTCATACACGATATACCTACTCTCTAAACAGTCATACATATAAGAGATCTAATTTACAGACAATTTCAAGAGCGTTCGCTGTGATCAATGCTTGCCCAATTGCTATGACGTCACATACTCAACGCTGTCCTATAAAACGGACCTCAATCTGCATTCATTCTCTGTCAGTGGCTTTTAGTAAGTATGCAATACAATTGTAGTCCCTAATGTAGTGAACGTAATAATAGTTTACTTAGCAAGCAGGAGACGCTCAACAATGACAGCTTCATGCTACGAGTCTATTTGGCCAAGCAGGTGGTTCCAGTCATACGCAAGGTGACCGTCATGTCCTGGGTTGGTCTGCTATGTAAGTGCTTTTGAATGCATAAATGTCAGATTACTATTTTTCAATTTATGATACTATTGCAGCTGACTTAGGAGGCATTTTCAATTTGTGCTTGGGCTTGAGCATGATTTCCATCGTGGAGTTCTTCTACTACTGCACTTATCGCTTGTATGTTCATTATCAACAGCAGAAGCAGCTTCTGGTGAAACATGTTTGGAATTAGTCACGATTTAACAGATAGTATTTATATATTTCTATATAACTTCGATCTATAACTTAATTGTAAAAGAGGTTGTAACAACGCGAATTATTTTTTCTTTTTTGCCTTTTGCGACTGCGTGGTTGTTTTTCGCTTTTGAGCAACTGTCGTTTGCTGCTCAGCCGCTTCATCATCGCTGTCCCTGTGGAATGGAAAAGTTATGAATATACTTTACGTATACCTGATTTATTTTTGTCATATTCAAACTCACCCCACGGTGGCCATTTGCTCGAACATGTCCTCATACTCCGCGTCCAGCGGCGCTGCCTTAGACTCTCGTTTGTTTTTTATGCTCTTGTGCTTTTGCACTTCAGCCTCCGCTTCGTTGTCATCCTCGCTGAGCTGCCGCTGTTGTGGCAGCTGGTTAATGAGCACCTTCGTCGCCTTCGACTTAACGTAGCACTGATAGAGCAGCACAGTGGAATCAGCATCGTGTATCCGCACATAGCGATCCAGAGAAGCGGAGCTCAGATATTTGCCCGTTTCATCCAAGTGAAGGTCGCTGATGCCGCCCGTAAAACCTTTATAAGTGTGCACATGAGTCTTCATACGGCGGGTGTCAAAGGCCTACCAAGGAATCTCAATGAACTAAGTAAATAGACATAAGTACAACTTAGGGCTTACCTTTAAGACTCCCATTGTGGTGCCTGTATAAATATAGTGATTATATGCTACGAGCGACGCAAAGCTCATGCCATGCTCCTCGCTGGCAAAGTGTGCCACAGGTCGACGTTGCTTGCGCGTGTCGTACAGCCTAACGTAGCCATGGCGAGAGCAGGTGGCCAAGACGCTTGGCCCATCCACAAAGCCTATATCGCTGTCCCACACGGGCACCTCCAGCTGCAGATAATCGTTGGGCAAATTCTTGGAACTGAAGATTTGCTTGCCATCGTCACTCAGATCGTAGACTTTCAAGTTATTCTGTCGAGCTTTGCCACCGGTGGCCACAATTTGCCTAGCAGTGGAGCACTGACGCAAGTGGTCCATATGATCCCCAGTGGCTATGAGGATTGGTTCCGCCGCAGACTCCTCCTCCTCTAGAGCATCCAGCGACATAGTCTGTATTTTTCCATTGCTAAAGCCAGCAATCAACTTGTTGTTATAGCGAGCTAGACCTACAATTGGGGCGGCGGCTACATTGATGTGGCGCATACTTGAGGCACCGCTTACTCCAAGTGAATGCACCTCTGCCACATTCTTCGCGCGACCGAGCAGTATTTCCGTTTGCGCCTCATTGCCAAATGCCAACGCCGTCACTCGGGAATCTTTGTCTAGAGCTGCCACATCAGTAAGGTTTGATTGTATATATGGATTCTTCTCCAGAGCGGGCAATAAATCTGTAACAGATAATGTTAAGAGCCGCAGCAGAACATGTCATTTGACTCACGTTTGAACGAGCCTGTGTGTGTGCCCACAAACAATTCATGTTTGGCTGTATAATTGGCATGCTTTAAGTTTGCTGTAGTCCACTTCATATCGTTCAAATGTCCCTTACTAAATTTTAAGACAATCAAGCAACTCAGAAGTAGCGTCTGTCAGGCAAAACAAACGCAACACGTGCAGCGCCAAATGTGTATGAGCGAGACAGCTCTATCAGCTGCCTATCGACTAAAACGATTACCTGCAGTATTCACCAACACTGATTATTAATCGTATAGCACATATCAGCGGTGGGTAAGTTTATCGCCTTCGTACCTAGCGACTTTTTATTTAAAACAAAAACAAAAACACGCTCATGTCCTCATTTTTACATAATTTATAGAAGTTATGGCGCTAACAAAAGTGTACGATGCGGCCACGGTGTTTAGGAACCTCAATGGCATTATCAATGTCTACAAGCCGGCTGGCATGAAAGTTAAGCATGTGCGCAATGCCATACTAAGCAACATATGCAAAGGTACGTTAAAAGCAGAATTGATAACTGAGGTAAATGAAGTAATGCTATTTATGTGGTAGGACTCAATGATCTGGAACAACGTAAGCCACGTAAACTGCCAAATGACATGCGACTTCTGGGCACTGGCGCTGCCACAGACACTGTACTGCATAAGATAGCCGCCAATACAGATCTTTCGGACCACATATTGGCCAGTGGGCCCCGCTACTTGCCGGGCGATATTCGCTGCGCAGCTGTCAGTACACTAGGATATCACACAAGCGGCGTACTACGTAAGTAATGTATATTACTATATTCCACAGCAGTCATTCGCATATCGTTGTGTTTAGTGTTTGGGCTGAACAAGGGGCTGCAACAGTCCAGCCTCATACAGCGGAATCGTCCAGTGCGGGTCTACCATGTAACCGCTCGAATGGGCACAGCCACAGAGAATCACCTGCCAGACTCACGCGTAACAGTGCGCGCTAATCACCGGCACTTGACACCGGAACGCATTAGCGGATTGGCCGCCTCGATGCAGGCTTCACATCAGCGGAAAATGTTCGAGCTCTGCGGCGTGGACTTACAGACGCAGGCTGCCTACGAGCTGGCCTGCAAGGGACTGCTGCGACCCGCCGACAATAGCCAGCCCGTCGTCTATGGCATCAAGCTCATACACTTTGAACGACCTCATTTCACTCTCGAGCTGCACACGATCAACGAGAGCGAACAGTACATGGCAGCCCTTATCCACGACATGGCTATTGAACTACGCACTGTGGCGCACTGCTCACAGATTCGTTGCATACGCCACGCCCACTTTGATGTGTCGGAGAGTCTGCTGCGCCATGGGTGGCACCTGCCTGGCATCATGAAGAATCTGCGACTGCAGCAAAGTGTACTCGAAGCGCATCCGCAGCTGCTAGACCAGCAGCGCGTGGATCTACATGCTGCTCAATAGCTATTTATAAATAATTCAAATGTAATTATAGTAGTTGTATATAAATGTTTAATTTAATGTGTTGAGTTTCAGTCTGGCTGTCAATTTGTAGTGCTCCGCAAAGTGCTTCTGTAGTTTGTCGTTCAGCTTCTTCCCGGCCACAGAGTCCAGCACCTTCTCCACCACATCCTGTGCCTCCTTCAGACGCAGTTCTGCTTGCTCCAGCAGAGCTGCTGCTTCAGCTTGCTCTCTGCGTGCTCGCTCCTCCAGCGTGTGAGTCATCTCGATGAGAATGATGCTGACGTAGATGGCTAGCTTGATGCTGTGAGGATCGAGCAAGCGGCACACGTTGTATAACTCATCGCAAAGGCGTTGTTTTCGGCCCAACTGCAGATCGCTCAGTGTGCCCAGCTCCAGCCCTGGCTCATGGCCGTACAACTGGACGAGCGTGTGCTTCAGATTAAACATGTGAAAGTGATTGGTGTGCAGCAGCTGGGATAGTCGAGCCAACAGCAGCTCCACCTGGCTGGCTGTGGGTCGTCCAGCCAACAGGGACTCCACTTGCTCAGTCATGTGTGTCTGCACTTCAGTCACGTAGGCGGCATCCACAACCATGGGACAAGTGTCGCACTTCCACTGGGTCTTCTCATCAAGTGGGTCGACCGGCAGCTGGACGCCTACGCACGTCTTGGACACATCGCCCAGGCAACGCAAGGCACTCACGTAACTACCGTACTCGGTCGGATCCTCACAGCGTGCACAGCGGCAGCTAAAGTGCTTGGTCATGAGTAGATGATGGTGTCGCATTTGCGTACCCCACAATATGTTGGTGTATGTGATCCTCAAATGGTCTCCCTTCTTCAGGTCGCAGCCCGCTCGCACCGCAATGCGTTGTGTGGCTGCATCGAACTGGAAGTAGCAATTCGGCTGGCAGGCGTGCTCCATCATACAGGCTTGCCGGAAGAGACCGCTCAGCTCTATGCCCGTGGCCAGCTCGATGACCATATAGTTGGTCTCAATGATGCCACACAGGCGATGCAGCAGCTGCGGCTCATAGTCGCTAGGCATGCTGTCTCGTTGCTTGCTCTGCTTGATGCGCTGCAGGAAACGCTGCCGTAGATAGCCGACAACTCGCTGCTCTGCTTCCTGGTGCAGCTCTGTGCCCAGACGCTCCTCTTCATGCGACTGCATTTCCAACAGCGCCCGCCAGCGATCTGGATGTTGCTGCTGCAACAGCAGGCACTTGAGCACCAGCAACGCATCGTGTCGGTAGTAGTCAACGAGAGCACGTACGTCCGTCTTGGATTTGGGTGCGTTTCCCAAACTGAGGACACTGCACTCCAGTTTCTCGTGCTCGCATCCGACGCTGCATACGGGCCACCGACAACTGTTGGATATCGAAGATTAGTACACTGTACTTCAAAATATATGCGCGCACAGTAATTCAGCATCCGAAGAAGTACACTATACTACAAAGACTAAGGAGTACTACTAATAACGCATTAAGCTGTTGGTTATGGTTGGCTCATGGCGCATCGAATTCTGAACTACACGATAAGAGATTGATGATTGTGCTAAAGGATGTCTGAATTTTGTAGGACTGAGCCTTTATTAAAACCATTTGTCGACAGAATGAACTACTAGTCAGAGTTCCTTTCGAAAGTCGTAGTAATACCATCAACCAATGCTTTCATTTGACCTAAGTATTTGCGGATTGCCTGCAACTCTGGAATTTCGTTGCACAGTATTTGGCACTCACTTGCGACAATGATGTTTGTCCACGCGGCAGGGCGTGTAGCAGCCTACGCAGGGGACGATGCTGGCTGATTTCTCTTCGTCGGTGAGAAACCACTTAGGACCCACGACAAGGGGATCCTCCACAAATATGATCTGCTTGGCCTTAACGTCGTGGGTGGCCACCAAGTAGCGGCCCAGTTGGGCATCCTGCTGTTCCCGGAATGGCCGACAGCAGCTCTTGTGCTGGGGCCAATCCTGCCTCTGGTGCTCCCCATTGCAATAGCGTACGACCTTGCAGCGGGTGCAGGTGAGCCGGGCGGCCACATGACAAACGGCACAGTTAGCACTCGGGAGCGTCATTCCAATTGTCACTCTACGACTCTCGAAAACGCAATGATCTTCTGTGAGCGGACAATATTAGATTCGATTTCGGGCTTCCACTGTTTATATTTAGCACTTTTCTCCAAACATTTACCTCAGCTCGCTCAAAATGTATTCAACGTGCTCTTCGACTCGTTCAGAAATGCTATAAAAATCTCTTCAAAGTGAGTCTACATATGTATATGTGTAGTACTATTATGTACACAGCAGTATACACACTATATATATGTATATATGTACATCTATATTTACACATACAGCGAAATACACTGAAGAATCATTTCATTCATTAGCACTAAAAGCCGTATTCGAACTCGAATTGCAATATAACTTCAGATATACCAATTTTGATGATTACATAATTCTAATAGATAATCATTTGTTAAAATTAATTTGTAGTATTTTCATTCATTAATCGAAACCCATACAATTGCAGCGTGAGCGAGAAATTCTGATTTAGGTCAATATAAATGATCTACACTAATGAACCGACTCGATTTTTAAAAAATCGAATACCCGAGAAACTTCGTTATCTCCGGATGGTAGTCAAGATTACGTTTTATGCTGAGACTAAACGATCTGCAAAGTTTTATTGCAAATGATAAGATCCACTTTTAGGCATTGTCTTCATTTGTTGATAGTCAACTTGTGATACTCGCGGATCCATCTCGAATGCAACGATTCACCTCCAAATTGTTTCTTCCTTCAGTTCCATTTAAATTTCCTAAATTGGTAATGATTTATGTCTTAATAGGCTGTGTCCGACATGCAATTCCATGGTCCAACTCCATCAAGTTTGAAGTTCGTAAATTGTTCGCTCGTTAATATTGAGTATTGAAAAGTTGATCATCCATTAATAATAAATCAGGTTAACTGAATTTTGAGCGTTTCTATACCAAATGCGTTCTTGTTTCCAACATATCCATTATTAAATGAAATTCCACAAATCTGACAACCAACTTTTATTTAGTTTTAATTTTTCACAATCGAATACATTGGGTCTAAACCGTGTAAAACATTTATCATAAATAATCATTTTATTTAAGGATTTTTTATTAAATAATTTAATTTTTATTTTTTAGGTTAGCTTTGAGATGACTTTAGACTTCTCCGCTTGATTGGGTCTATGTGTGTATTATTATAAACTAATCTGGTTTATAGTCTACTTTGTGTGGGGGCGTTAGCTTAGTACGGCTCTTGGGGCGCGTCCAAGTCTCGGTAGTGAGATCTGGCGCGGTAATCGAAACCACCGGGCCTGCAAGCAACGAAAATGAATGTGGTTTAGATTTAGGCATTATATACACAAATCTTATATAATAAAACAAACATTTACTGCAGCATGTGATTGCATAATAGAAATCATCAGAAACTCTGTTTTTTATTTACTGAACAAATTATAATCCTTAATTAGATCCAAACCCCACAGGTTTTAAGTTTTATTTTTTAGTTTACTTTGTTTTTGCTTCTATTTTTTTCCTTAATACAATTGGAATATTGTACATAGATAAAAGTGAAAGTTTATATAGTTTTTCTTGTCCCCATTGGGCTTAAATTGTTTTATAGAACTGAGCTTGAAAATCGTATTACGCGTTAACTGTGTGCTGTTTCTGCGTTCTGTGCTAATCAATCAATAAATTAATTAGTCAAACATATCGGAATTAATGGGCGCATCCAAATCATGGTAACCGATAATCCGGCGTTGGTGTTCCAAGGGCATTTCTCTGCAAAAAATTTGCGACACAAGAAAGTTGTGACAAATTTCGTTTAAAGACCAACAACAAAACAAATGAAAGCAAGTTAATGAAGGCATATCGATATCGGGACTAATACACTAGGCTCCTTATACTTTATACTTTTACTTGGATGTAGAATATACTTAGAAAAACATGTCTTATTTCTGATTATTTAGTAGAGAGACAATTCTCTATGTATAGAGCAATTTTTAAAAAGGCTATTATGAAGGCTGAAAAGTACTGCAATATATTAATTATAATTAAGATTAAAAATGTAGTTTGAGAGTTAAAGAATATTGATGACTAAAATTCAAAATGTCATTTTCAATATACATTAGTTATTAACATACTCTGTTGGCTTTTCCGATAAAATATATTGAAACTAAAGTCTTGCTTAGGGATAGTGAAATTTAAATGAAGCTGTGACTTGATATATACATATACCGGCTAAACAGACGGACTAAATACATAGACATAGAATTTTATTCTATACTATACCCTGACGTACTTATGTACCATGTACTATGCATTCTAATGCAAGCAAAGTGATTTACTGACCTGCGTACTGGTGGAAAATTGCGTCCACCTCGTCCTCCACCGCCCATCATGGGCGGTGCGAACCCATAAGGCATGGCTGAGAATGGCGGATACATGGGTGGCCGATACCTGTAGAGGCAAAAAGTATTCATTATACATTGAGGTGTATCATGGATATGTATTCTTACCCTGATCCACGGCCTGATTCGGATTCGGTGCGTTTGGAACTACCTGGATGTTCCGGTAGCTGTGGCCGTTTGGGATCCCGCAAGTAATTGTTAAAATATTGCACCTCCTTGCGCACCTCTTCGACTTTCTCCTCGTGCTTGTTGAAGATGTGTTTGCGTATGAATTCTGGACCCTTGAACTTCTTGCCCGAAAGCGGACACAACCATTTGTCCTTAGCTAGTTCCTGTGTGTTGGCTTGCACGAATTTTTCCACTTCGGTTTCTGGATTTTTGGCACCCAGCTCTTTAATCTCTTCATCGCTCAGTTGCACAGTCTTAGTCAAGAACTGTTGCAGCTTGCCATCGTATGCTTTGATGTATTCCTGGACATCGTTGCTAGTGACTCGCATAGGGGCTGGTCCACGGGCATGTATAATGCCACAGCGGTTAGGCATTTCATCCTCGTATGGATACTCGCAGTGATTGTAGTAGTCTACCGAGTGCACTATTCGTAAGTAAAGCACCAAGCGATCGAGAACCGAGATTAGTGACTCGTCCCGCTCAATGGGCTCGCCGTCGCCGTCTTTATTATCGCCGGCCAGGCCAAGCAGCTCCTCCTCCTCGGCCGAGGCTTCTTCAATGAGGTAGTCGGTTATGTTCTGAAGCACCGGATTCTTGGAATTGAAGCCATACGATGGTGAGCTGCTGGCACCGCTGCCATTGGTTGCCTCCTGGCCAGCTTTCTTCTCCGCATCCTCAGCGTCTGAACGAGTCGAGTCGCACCACAGCTTAAATCTATCGTCCAGATTCATCGCAATCTTTGCGCACAGTTTAATATCTGCGCGCACAATCTGCTTATGCGCCGTGATACCATTGGCAGGACGAACTCGTCTGCTTAAATCCCGGTTGACTATGGCGCCCATTTCGCAGTCGCGCAGACGTTGATTGTTCAGGCTCCAGCATATCTCTTTGATGTTGACGTCGCGCGTAAACGTGATCCACCCGCGGCGATACCAGCGTCGCTCGACGAGGGGATCGGCAATGGCTACACGTAGATAGCCACTGAATCGTTTGCAAATAGCTTCGATCTCTGCCTTGGTAATTGACGGCGCCAAATTGCGCAGAAAAATAGACGAGGTGCGATGCAATGCTCGTGGATGTGGCCCATCCTTAACCTTGTCCAGATCGATTGTTTCGGTCACTTCATTCGCTGTTGATTCTTGAGTGTCCGCTTCGGCCTTGTCTTCTGCTTTCGCCTCCTCCTCTTCGACATTCTTTTCTGCTGGATTGTCTGTTGTTGGACGCTCCGTTTGTCCTACTAGTTGCTCAGTTTTGTCCTCCTTGGATTCTTCACTTTTGATTTCTACTGCCTCTTTAGGATCAACCACGTCTTCTGGCTGGGGACTCTCGGGTGGCAGTAACTTTTCCTTAGCTGCTGTGGCAGCCTCCTCCTTGTCTTTTAGTGCCTCCGCTTTCTGATCAGCACGCAACCCCTCCTCTACATCGTATTTAGCTTTGACCTTTTCATCGTCTGATTCCGTGTCTGAATCGGAACTAGAAGAAGATGAGCTGTCATCGTCGCTGCTGTTCCGTTTTCGTTTCTTAATTTTCTTTTTCTTTAGCTTTTTCTCATTGTCACTTTTAACCGATTCTTCATCCTCTGGCTCTTTACTTCGTCTATCAACCGACTTTTCGCCGTCTTTGCCTGTCTGAGGATGCACTTCCATCGGTTCATCTTCATCCCAGTTCTCCTCGTCAAGGTTAACGGGTCTTAAGCTTTTATGCTGTGGTGATGAAGCTTCCGGCAAGTCGTCATCTTTCTCCGTTTTTGGACTCTCAGGCTCCCGTTTTGCTACGACGGCAGATTCAGTTGTTTCTGATTTGCGCTCGTAAACGATCGGCGGATCTTTCGGTTTTTCGTCAAGTATCTTAAGATCTTCATCAGTGCCACCCTCTAGTTTGATCACACAAGTATCCAAAACTCGCACCAAAGCATCAGCCTGCGAAGAGTCGACTTTCACGCTGCCAATGGTGCCGTTCTCCAGTAGTTCCAGAAATACTTCTGTTCGTCTCTATGGATTTTAATATGCAGGTTTAGTAACTTAGTTATTGAACATATAATTTGTTGATTACCTTTAGAAATCCCCGTTGTTCTTCGCTCCGTCGCACGCTGTCTTCTGGATGGTATTTGTTTTTGAACCTGCGAAAGACAAAGCTCTGCTTAAAAACAGATTACGAACCAAGCCAAATATTAAAGGTAATTATGTTCAGAGATTTAAGTGGGCTATATGTATTCGATTTGGTATATTGCAGGTGGTTTCCGATTTCCTTGTATCCATAGGCTAAGACATCAAGTATTTATTTATTAGAATAGATTTATTGGACTTGAATTTAGATTTATCTTTTGCATATGTACAAAATTCCCAGGGTCTTACCTTTGCAAGCGCATTCATAATGTGTATATGTATATATTATATATTCGTTAGATATATATATATATAAATTTAGGCATTTGCTCGCAACGAATTTAAAAATATCGCGGTTTCAAAAATATAAACACAACCCACGGCATTGCTCGCCGGGTAAATTTAAATTTTAAGTTATTCTTTCAGTTTCTACTGAGACAGAGGCTGTATCAGTGTCTCGTCTCTGAGTCTCAGATCGCAAAACGCCATAAAACCCATAAATAGCTGCAGAGAAAAACTTAATAATAA